GATAATCGTCCGGAAAATGCGAAACTTCGCTCGCAGGAAAACTTCGGGGGTGGAGGGAAATTACGTAAAGGTCAGAGGAAGAGGCGTGCACCTGTCGACCTTCCACGACCGGGGAACTTTTCAATTTTTAACGCTCAATTTCCCCGGCGGGCCACTTGACGGGGAAAATCGTAATTTTTCATTGCGTTGGATGGGTTCGGATGGCAATGGTACTACTTGGGACAATGTTGCCTGTGATTCGTTCCCAGAACTCTTACGGCAGAAATTCTTCAAAATGGCCCAGAATACAATTAACAACATGAATTAATTCACCATTAGATTATTCGTATTCAATTCAAATTTTTGAACATTTTCCAATGTTCCCAGAGCTGAATTCACAAGGAGATATTTGTTAATAAATAATAATAAAAAAACATGTATTCCGCCTATTAAAAAGTCATTTGAATAAAAATAATTAATTCTTTTCTTACTTCTAAGAAGCATAAAACTTTCATAAGATTCTAATTAGCTTTTATTAAAACAAACAAAATATACTAATTTTTATTGAAAAATAAATTAAAAGTATTTTGCTTTTTAAAGGTAAGAAGAACAGGTAGCTTATATAGTAGTTTAAAATAAACATTTCAAAATGAACAGAAATATAGAAAGCAGTTCTATTTAAAGCGGCACCAAAATAATTTTCACATAAAGAGTAAAAAATATTTTTCTAGAACAATACAATGAGAACACGAATTTCAATTCACATCCCGTTTCTTTATACGTTTGCCACGAAACTGTGGGATTGAATAAACCCGCGCAATTTATTTATCGTTCTTGAGGTCGTTAACATCAACGGTTACCATCCAAAACTCGCCGGTCCAATGACGCGATTCAAAGGACACCGGATCGCGGGATTTTTACCGGGTTATCGGATAGCGCGAATTCAAGCTTAACGCGCGCCCGGCGCACGCACGTGCAATCACTAGGCACCTATTGCCGTTTGGCCATTGACAAATATTGACATTCGAGCGACGTCCCGTGTTAGGACCACGTACCGGCTATCTCGAGTCAATTGGGTTAATTGAATTGCAGGCTGTCGCTCGAAACGCGTCCAGAACAATCCGCAAATTGTTACGCGAGCGGGCCGACGGGACCGGTTCGAAAAGCGCGGCGATTCTATGATCTCCGAGGCATCATCTTCACTCGAAGTTGTCACCAAGGAAATGTCACTTCTCGCAAAGGAAACAAATTTTGTTGGAAATGTTAGGTATAGTTTATTGACTTTAAGACATCAACGAATTGTATAAACGTATGAATTTGAAAAAGAACGTGTTAAGTTTTTATTAATTGGAGATTTAACATGGAGGTTTGAAAATAGAACTTGCTAAAAAGAATTAGATCCTTCTTTTGTGATTGTTGAAAATAACGAAGTGGTTTTCTAAAGAATTATCATAGAAACTGATGAAAAGAATTGTTAAATAAATTAATTCGTTGGTAAAGGTACTTGAAGTTTTAATAAATGGACTCTTGCAATTTGTGTCAAAATATATGAAATAACTGAATTCTTTATTTGACATTTTTAGTGTGAAAATTTAATGGATTTCGTGTGTTGGAATCATCATTATTTTTATCCATTCTGCGGTAATGTATATATTTTTTAACATTAAAATATATATATTTTTCCTTGTATGCTTTCAATTCTGTATAAAGAAGATAGGTTATTACAAATACTAGTATTATTTTTAGAAAACAATTGTTAGCGGCAAATGATATCTTATATAAAGTACCCTTGAAAGAACAAACAGATCCAGAAAAGAGCTTTTTACGCCATAGCATAATGAATATAAATATAAATAATAAATAGCATAAGAAATAATATAATTAGAAGGAATACGAGAAGTATAATTAACTTATCAAGTGGAAGGATTGCAGACGATGCACTTCACATGTTATAATTTCTCTAAGAACAAAAAGTTTCCTCGCATACACTTCTTAGATTAATTAAAAGAATGAATTACAAAAATCAGTTATTTAAGGAAAATACATAATACTCGAGGAGGCTTCTGAGAAAATGGTTGCAGTATGTATTTCCGCCAGAAGTGGGATAGGAAATATTCTCGATACAGTTCCGAGGAACTTTAATCTCCCAGGAAGATCAGACGAATTCAGTCTGTATCCTTTCGAATAATATTTCATAATCCCGGGGGATGCATTCCTCGAGACCCCCCTTCCCCCGATATAAGAACGCCCCTCGTACTGAAACGATCCTACTCCCAATTGAAAATTTCGATCTAAATACAGAGTGTAATGGCGCAACCTGAAAGAAGGTTACTGTTAGGAATTCGAAATATGAATTTATTCTATCAATGAATGTGTGTTCGGTACAAATTTGATTTTGTTTATTATAACATTATTAATTTCCTGTTGCTTTACTTTTTTACGAGTTTTATTATGGTTAGTAAATAACAAATATTATTTATTCAAGTTTGTATATCCCTGAAAGAATAAATTGAACGATAAATATAGTGATTCAAATATCTTCTGTTTAACAGAAAATCTAATGTATCTTCAATTTAATTGATGCTAAAAATGTATATTTCGTGACTAATCAATATTAGTCACTTTTAGTTGAATTTATAGTTATTAATGTTGCTACTGGTACGAGCTGTTATTTATTTTATAAAATAATTCAGTGGGAACTAGCAATTAGCAATAACGAGATTAATGGTGTACACGTTGTACCTGTTTCAATTGATTACTGCAAGTAGAAATTGCGAACAATAGTCAGACAATCTAATTCGAAATAAAGCCAGAACAATAGAACAAACTGTAATTTAATACGTGCGTTTAATTAACATTCGTTACACGTTCTGAAATTTATGGTTCTGGACGTTATCGTGGTACAATATTATTCCATCTGTAGAATAATTTAATGTAAATTGGAATTTAAGAAATATTCAAATTAACGCAGTACAAACAGATCTGCATTGCTCGTTAACGCAAAGAGATACAGTGAATAATCAACCAAGCCAATTCAAAATGAACCTTTAAAAGCATCAGAAATAATACATTTCTTGATCAGTTCGATGTTCACAATTTGACTCGTGTGTTTGATGAATACTCATCATTTCCACTTAGGTGTACACTTATAGACTGCATTTAGTATGCTATTATTGATTTCGAATAATAATTTGGTACAAATGAATAATCGGAGAACAGCGAATTTACACAATCAGTTATGTATGAAGGGTCACTTCAAGTGGAAACAGCCAGTAATAGTCAGACAAATTCATTTTCTTTAGAATTCAATTCGTACGCTCGAGAATGTCAGGTGTTTGGTTGATTTTCTAACGTGACGTAAATGATTTCTGACTGTTCCATTAATAGGATGGATATAAATATATAAAAGTATACATTTTTGAAAATTTTGCTGCGATTCTGGTCCATGTACTTCCTTAATTTCTTAATTGATTTAGGGTGCGGGACGAAACACAGCACCGCGGTTCCTACTTCCACGGCACGGCCAGGTCGCGATCAATTTAATCAACGGTTAATATCATTAATTTCCACTAGACGAATGATTACATTAATTAAATTTAATGGAATACTCGTACAAACGTGTATAAATTCTGGCTTGGTGATTTTTCAGCTGTGGGGCATGGGAAAAAGATGGTATAATAGAATGTGGAAGAATTTTTCATAATGTTACTTAAAATTTATTATTTATGGATATTATTATTCTATTTTTTTATAATTTGATTCAATAGAATAATGTTTATGCAAGTTTCTCATTTATACGATTTGTCCCTTTTATGATTTCTTAGATACCCTTTCAATATATTCTGCTATGTTACAATAATCAATCAATAAAACAATAATATGAATAAGGTATAAACATTAATAGGGAACATTATTTTTTATTTAATTAAACCGAAGCAGATTGTATCATTTACAGTTATAACTTAATTAAATAAAGAACAGCTCTTTAATATTGGTTTCTTAATTTTTATTATCAAATTTGAAATTTTTATTTAACTGTGTTCACACTATTCGCATTTAATTCGAGCATTAATGTTAACAATTATTTCCCAACTGTTGAATTAATAATACAAGAAATAAAAACCTTTATATAATAAATATATTTAAAACATTTGATAGTGAAAAGATAAGATTCACAGAATTGTTAATTCGTTATTTGAATTCGATAAAGTTCGATGAAATGTAGACCGACGAATGTTGCTTCCGGTTTTACAAAATTTTACAACGTATTTCCATTTAATGCGGGGTATCGAGTAATCTTTATTGCCGATCGATCGAACGTCACTGTATCGCTGTCGTCGAACGAATCAATGCATTAACAACGTGTCGTATTGCATAATACACGGTACGACTCTATACGCTGCCTATTATACCGGTATTAAGTGATACGAGTCAGGCATTGATGAAGCGGCGTTGAATCAACAGTACTTTTAATGCAACCGTAATCGCATTATCCGTCGCGGAAGCTCATTAAACAAGGTTTTCTCTCATAAATAAAAGTGCCCACTGTACGGACCATATATGAATTAATACAGGACAAACACCATAATATTATTATATAAGCTGTTTCACAATTTTGTAACATCGATACAATAAATATATTACAGTAAAATATTAAAGAGATATATTTAAAAACTTCTTTTTACCATTTCTGATTATTTTAAACAATGTTTGGTAGTAATCTAATTATATAAAATTATAAGACATTTGTAATTTTCCTGATTTCACAAATGTTCCATTTATCATCGTTTTCTTAAAACAGAGACAATTCTACATAATTCTCTGTAATCTGAGAAAAGGAAATCATTTTGTGGAACAGTAAGTATTGTTACAAAACAATCGAACGTCGAAACGAGGAGACGAATCAGAGGTGAACGTATCGGATCCCGGTGCAGAAGAAAATGAGTTCCTTACAGTCGATTATTGCCGAGTGAAATCATCAGTAATCGATGCCAACAAATTCGTATCGCGAAGGGACTTACCGTGAAAAGCTTTCATTAAAATCGGATCCCTGGGATGACAGGACAGGATAATCCGCCCGGCGATCGAGCAAAACGGTCCCCGTTTTTTTTCGAGCGGTCAGGAATCTGAAAGGAGGTTAAGAGATCTGATTAAATCGAAAAATTCAATTCCTCCGAGGGGCTCGCTTCTTTAAGCTCTGGCCGTTTCGATCGCTTCCGATTATGGACGATTGAGTCCGAGTCTATCTTGTCGTATTTCATTTTGTGAGAAATTTCAGAAATATCGAAATGAAAAGGAAACTTCATTTTGGAAATTCTTTTCTGTTTGACAAATTTTTATTGTATTCACCACATTCTTCCTTTCGATACAGTGATTTTTTTGTGATATAAAGAGATTATAACACTTCGAAATTTTCGTTCATTGTTCTACATTATCTAAAGAAAAGAATGACGAGATATTAACTACCATTTTCAGAAGTGAAAATGGATTATTTACTGTACATTAGAGTAAAGGTGACAGTGATGACTTCTAGTTTTGGCTTCTAGGTGCAGTTATTAAAAGAAAATCCAGTCTGGAATGTATTAAACAAGAAACATGCTGACGTATATTGAATTTTATAAACATTATTTGCTAATTGTTTACGTCGGTTTTAATTCATGCGATTACACGAATCTATATTCTAACTGCCAGTTTTCAAACGTTCAATTTCCAAGATCTAAACGAAAGAATATCAATTTTCTAGGAACGATAGTACAAACTGCAGAATAAATATCCATCAGTCTAGTGCAAGAAACTACCAATTACATTCCAATTACCTCGACGTTTCACTCGTCGGGTCATTAAATACATTTAAAACTGGAGTCCACGTAATTAGAGTTGAAATGTAGATGAACAAAAGCGTGTTACTCTCATCAAGGCCATTATAGTCACCACGGTTTCCCTTAATCTAATAAGAAATAGTGCATTTAATATAAATTATCATAGTTATAAAAAAAAAGTTGTTCCTGGAGTTGCTCTAGCTAGGCTCTAGGCGAGAGTGTTTCGTTCAGTTTTTATCGCGCGAAAGGGGGTTGGGAATCGAGGGTGCTTAGCACGCGACTTTGCAAGGCCAAGTCGTGGGTGGCCATTTTATAACCAATTAGTTTCCCTCTTTAAGAAACTGCCTACGGAAGTAGTACTCCAGTGTCCTTCGGGTCGCTCCAAGTGGCCCAGGAGACTCAACCGTTCCCCCACCCCGTACGAAAATAGAAAATCATTGTACGACGATGACTCCGGTTTTCAATAGAGTCACGAACCCAACCGTAGAACAATGGACTTTTATCGGCGTTATTAATCGGAGATGACGCTGCCAGTCGCTTTCACGATGCTCCGTTGACTTTCCGCTGATCCATAAACGCGCGCTAATTATTAGGTAGTAACGTAAATACTTTTAGGTTAAGTATGGACATGTTCTAATTTCAAGGTTCCACCCTTCATGGATGAGGGTTTCCTGAAGAACCCCTCATCCGTGAACCTTGAGTGGAGTTAAATTACATCGAATTCAAACGATGTTAGAAAAATAGAGGAATGTTAGGAAAAGTAGGACTGTTTGCTGATCTATTGTTATTTGAATAATTAAGTTATTCGTTCGATACTTTGAATTCTAAGTATGAATATTTGATGGTAAAATGATTAAAGCAAATGTAGTTATGACTTATTGCAAATGTATATAATTACTTTTAGATTAAGTATGGACATGTTCTAATTTTAAGATTTAACCCTTCACAGTTAAGGGTTCTTTGAAGAAAACCTTCAGTGGAAAAAGTTAAATTACACTGAAGAAAAAAATGCTAGAAAAATAGAACTGTTTCCTAATGCTTTGTTATTTGAATGATGAAATGATTTATTTAATACTTTGAATGCTAAATATGAAGATTTGATGCTGTCAAAATGACTAAAGCAAAGGGTTAATTATGACTTATCGCAAACGTGCATAATGATGATGAATAATACAAATGAATGCAGAAAATAATAAAAACATTAAACATGAAACATTAAACGAACATAAAATTTCATTTCAAATCCGCTTGTATTTCTCATTAAACTAATAGTTGAATGTACTATTCTTTTTGTTGTTCGAATTACTAAGATAGCGACACTTCAGATTCAAAATGGTAACAAAAAGTCCTGAAACAGCAACATATAAGAACACGTTACTCGGGTCATCATACGTCGCGCGAGGTTATCTTCGGTCAAGTCTCGTGCACATGTATAAACAAAATTCCACTGTATCTAAGTAAATTCTCGACTGGAATAATAAGGAACGTCTTACGGATGGGAAAAGAAGAACTCTCGTTTCGCGTCATCCAAGTGAAGTGAATTTCTCGCGGAATATTCTTCTCTTGGGGCCGGGGCTCCTCGAAGAGGTTAACAAAAACCCGGAGAATCAGTTCCCTCTCTCGTTCTATAGAGAGTACTTAATGAAAATATTAAAATAACATTCGAGTGGTAATTGAATTGTAATGTAACGTGAAAGCATTCGGTTTCATTCGTAAAATGAGAAACGATTCTCAGACAGTTTGAGTATAGGGGTTAAAAGAAATCTGAAGTAGATAACGAAGTGTTACTCAACACGTTCGAAGTTTATTTAACGGATAAACAACTTTATCATTATTTTCAATGTATCACAGCGCGACGAGAGGTGCTGCGATTAATTTGTTCTTTTTCGAAGAATTTTAATTTCACGTTTAATTAATATTCGCTCGCAGGGGAGTCTGCAGCTAAAACTCACCAATAAAACGCGTAACTTTCAACAATGAAAATTCGTATGAGAAACAAATTAAATATTCATAATTGTTTTTTAAATATGAAGAGTTATGTAATCAACAGAATTAAATTGAGTACTGTAAAAATTAAGCCCCTTGAAAAATTAACGTTTAGTGGGCAAAGAGTCTAAAATTGAAAATGGCTAACTGTTACTCCAAATATAAAAATATTATTACAAAATCTATTTAATTTATATAATTTAAATAAGGAAAATCATTTATTTAATTTAAGCTCGCATAAAAGTGTATAAGAATGTACACTAGACGACAAATCAATAATTTATTTTTTAAAGAATCCAACTGTTATTCCAAATATCAAAATATTAAAAAATTCATTGCTAGCTCTCATAGAAATATGTAGATCTATATAATAGATGGTAAGATTAGTCATTTTATTTCGGAGAATAGAACTGTTGTTCCAAGTATCAAAATATTACTAAAAAAATTCATTGTAAACCTTCATAAAAATGTAAAGAAATATATAACAAATAGTAAGGTCAATAATTGCTTTTCTAAGGAATTTATTAACGCGTTCAATTAAAATTCATCGAGACAGGTGTGTAAACCTCGAGGTGGAAGCCGACGCGCGCGGTTCATCAGTCTTGAGAAGGGAAACACGTTTATCCATTCCTCCGGTCGATAGTTTCCAGCGGACCGACTTCGTATAGGACTGTTTCCTACGCCGACGACCCCTCAAATCGATCATATCGGCGTTCCAGATCCGCTCGAGCGTGTGTCCGAGACGCAATTGCATAACTCTGGATTCTTTCGGATCACTGATCGCTAGTCCAATCGATTCGTCACTTGGTAAACCCTTTTTAACCCTTGCCCGACGGTATTCAGGTCCATTTTCACCCCTTACGCGTTCGCGACAATAGCCAAGTAACTGAGTTTTTCACATTTATATAAAAATTTGATAAAGGAAACGCAATAAAGCGGAAAACGCAATGAAATTTAATTTGATATTACTTTTGCTGTTAAAACATCAGAATCATCAGCAGGGAAAATCAATAAAGGAAGTAAATCAAACTTAGTAATTTAATACCGAATAAAGATGAAGAGTAAATACAAAAATAATAAATAAAATTAAACTGAACGAAGTGAAATAACGTAGAATTTTCCTCTTCATGATTAATAAAGAAACAAATATATGTACGGCGTTCGACAAATAACCAGTGCCGCGATTCAATAAATTTCAAATACTCCAAGGAAACAATTTTTTGCATGAAACGAAATGGAATATGATAAATACGTTTCTGTTTGATTATAAATTGATACTCACGTTTATTCGACAGAAAATGGGCAATTACTTGCCATCGTTTATTTATTATCGAGAACAGTTTAGCTGGATAATGTATTTGCCTACAAGCGAGCACCGCTGATGGTTTCGGATAATCGATTTAGCTAAGAAATTCGCAAGTGAAAAAAATTTCCTTGGCTAAAAGAGTGAAGCGAATTCTTCCCTTTAACCGAATGAACCGGTTAAAAGGTGGCAATGCAATTTGTGCAATTGATCCACCGTTGACTGTGGCTTTTTTTTCTATTTATTCTGTCTATTAGAGGAAGAGGTCAACCCTTTAGATTTTTATGTAACTGCGACGATAAAAAATAACAGAGTTGTTTTACTAAATAAATACCTTTGTTTATCCTTGTCGTACGCTCTATTAATACGCGTCAGTGTTATTTATAAAGTACGATGTTTCTACAATACTCGTGCAAAAGTTCAAAAGTAGGATTTCTCGGAATAAATCGAGACGTTCGAAAAAGCATAATATATACACAACAACAACAACAACAACAACACGATCGTCAGAGACATTTTCAGAAATTCTCATTAGTATTTCCCGGAGAATTAATTCCATGTGTGTTGCTATGCAAATCATATTCCAGCGAATCAATCGTGATGGTACCTGCCATTCGTTTACTAGTCACGAATGTTCCCCGCCGCGTATTGCGAATATCATTGAAAAATACTTTTATCAACTGCACACGATGCTTTTGTTATTTCCCGGACTGGTTGTGCGGATATTATTAATTTTAAACAGGCAGCGAATAATATCTCATTTCGCTGAACCATTTACAAATTATTTATTATTTATAATTCAGATTTATCGTATTAATCATCGCTTTTATTTTTTTTTCATTGTTCCCTCAAATTAATTTCCTGGAAAGTATAACATGAAAATGAGAATAAATAAAGACATTATGAAATCGTATCAGCTTTTAATTGTTATAGAATTTAGCAATATTGAATATTCTACAAATCCATATTAATTTAAAATATAACGATCAGATTACGAATATTTATGTAAATATGGACT